ACTCATAAATCTATTGGATGCTTCTGGCTGCAAATAAAGAGAAATTCAGATTCAAGCTAGCAGATTTATCATCTCAAATAACTAAAAGTCCAGGGGTCAGGTGAGCTTTAAGTGTGGTACAATCAGCAGCTCAGTGACGTTATCGTGATCTTCATGTCTGTTTTCTTCACTGTCATTGGTGTTGTCTTCGTCGTAAGGCAATTTCATCTCATGATTTTAAGACAGCTACCAATAACCACTGGGGCTACATATTTTCATGTTCACATATTTCAATTTTAAGATATAAAACTTCTTTGGTAATTATAGATATAATTACTTTACTTGAGTCTAATTGTGCCCAGTTTGATCACTTGCCCACCATGGGGACAATATGAATCATCAGGAAAACTTCAAGTGCTGATTAACTTATGGTAATCCACCCCTGGAGCTACAAATGAAATCAGTTTCCATATGCTTGTATGGAGCAGAAATGGATACCTTAATAAAAGTAAAGTTCTTGGCTGGATGTGGTGGCTCACGCCTGTAATCCCAGCACCTTGGGAGGCTGAGGCAGGAGGATCACGAGGTCAGGAGTTCGAGACCAGCCTGGCCAACACAGTGAAACCTCGTCTCTACTAAAAATACAAAAAATTAGCTGGGTGTAGTGGTGTGAGCCTGTAATCCCAGCTACTTAGGAGGCTGAAGCAGAAGAATTCTGGGAGGCAGAGGTTGCAGTAAGCTGAGATTGCACCATTGCCCTCCAGCCAGCCCAGGCGACAGTGCGAGATGTCTCAAAAAAAAAAAAGTTCTTATAGGAAGAAAGAAAAGGGGACTGGTGATGCAGTAAGAACTCAATAGATGTTTGCTATGTCTCTCTTCTCTAAGCTACACCATATTTAGGCTCTTTTAATTACAGTGAGGCAAAGCATAAAATAACAAAATGGCTGGGTGTGGTGCTCACACCTGTAATCCCAGCACTTTGGGAGGCTAAGGCAGGAGGATTGCTTGAAGCCAGGAGTTTGAGACCAGACTCTACAAAAATTAAACAAACAAACAAAAAAAATAAACACCAAAACACCAAGACCAATCAAAGAGTTTTATACTCCTTTTATTCTCTATCAAATGCAATTCTAAGCAATGTCCAGGTACTATCCAAACAGCTTCCAGCCCTCTGCCAAAGGTGGAATTCTTCAATCATGTGAATAGTACTGAGTCCTGATGTTTGTGTGGCTTATCTCGCCAGGGGGAGGGTAGATACAGAGAAGTTGTTCTTTTACCCTATGGCCAAACCTCTGCAAGGACAATAGGGCAAGTGAATTTGCAGAAAAATAGATGATCTAGTCTTTTATTATTTTCCCAGGATGAAGCTGGGGAAAGGGGTTGTAGGTTTCCTTTATCAATGTGGTTATGAAGGGGCATGAAAGCTTGGAATTTTTCATTTAAGAGTAATAGTCTAATCCCAGCACTTTGGGAGGCCAAGGCGGGCAGATCACGAGATCCGGAGATGGAGACCATCCTGGCCAACATGGTGAAACCCCATCTCTACTAAAAATACAAAAATTAGCTGGGCATGGTGGCACACGCCTGTAGTCCCAGCTACTCGGAGGCTGAGGCAGGACGATGGCTGGAACCCAGGAGGCGGAGGTTGCAGTGAGCCTAGAGCGCGCCACTGCACTCCAGCCTGGCGACAGATTGAGACTCAAAAAAAAACAAAAAAAGTAATAGTTTGCTAATTCCATTATTTACAATAGATAGAAAAAAAAATTGATCAATGGGCAAGTTGAGGAGTCTCTGGGCCCATGTAAAGTATGTTCCTAAGGTCTCCTACATGAAAGATGGGAAACTACAGCAGTACGAGCAAGAAATCCTGGTGGCTTCTAGGATAATGATAAGAAAGATGGAGAGATGTGGACTAATTCAAAATGTATTCTGGAATAGAATCATAATGACTGGATGCTATATCAGATACAACAATAAAGAAAGGGGCGAAGGCCAGGCGCGGTGGCTCAAACCTGTAATGCCAGCACTTTGGGAGGCCGAGACCGGCGGATCACGAGGTCAGGAGATCGAGACCATCTTGGCTAACACGGTGAAACCCCGTCTCTACTAAAAAATACAATAAAAAAATTAGCAGGGCGTGGTGGCGGGCGCCTGTAGTCCCAGCTACTCGGGAGGCTGAGGCAGGAGAATGGCGTAAACCCGGGAGGCGGAGCTCGCAGTCAGCTGAGATGGGGCCACTGCACTCCAGCCTTGGCCACAGAGCAAGACTCCGTCTCAAAAAAAAAAGAGAAAGGAGAGAATAAATGACTCCTAGATTTCTGGTTGAAACATTTAAGTAGATTGTGGTGCCATTTCCGGAGACAGGAAAGATCATAGGAAGTGCAGGTTAGTAAATATAGTCAAGAATCTCAATTCAAATAACGTAAATTTGAGACGCATGAGAGATCTCTAAGTGGAAACACCAATAAGCAGTTGGATAGACTAATATTAAGAGTCCTAACGAGAGGGAGACCTGGCATGGAGACACAGAAGATATAGAAACCGCCCAGCCCCTCTCCCTACTCTCCCATCCATAGCTCACTTTTAAAAGTGAGGGCACACTTCTGCATGGGAGACTGCATGGCTCTAATAGTCTCATATAACAGGGACAGCCAGAGGAGGAAGTCTGTATATCAAGGCATATGTTGCCTCACCCACAGGAGCTCCAGCTTGTGACCATGGCCAGACTTTGCCTTGCTTCATCAACTCCTGTTCAGCAGACCGAAGTAACTTTTCACCATCCCCAGGCTATGACGGCAAAAGGGCTTTGTATATACTATTATTATATAAATTGTATATACTATTATTATACAAATTGTATAATTTTTTTAAGTTGTATTTCTGGATTTTCAGTTGTTAAACAGAATTTATTTTCTATTTTGACCTTGAATCCTGAGATTTTTTTTTTTTTTTGAGACAAGGTCTCACTCTGTCACCTAGGCCGAGTGCAATGGCGCAATCACAGCTCACTGCAGCCTCTACCTCATGGGCTCAATCGATCCTCCTGCCTCAGCTTCTTGAGTAGCTGTGACTACAGGTATATGCCACCACGCCTGGCTAATTTTTCTATTTTTTGTAAAGACAGGGTCTCACTATGTTGCCTAGGTTGATCTTGAACTCCTGGGGTCAAATGATCCACCCACCTTGGCTTCCCAAAGTGCTGGGATTACAGGCATGAGCCAGCAGCCCCTGATCACATCCTGAGATTTTCTAAGTTCACCTATTTATTATGATCATTTATCTATAGAATCTTGTTTCCTATATATACAATCATATTGTCTGTGAATAATGGTTTTATTTCTTCCCATCATTTTTTCATTTTTAAAAACTGAGACATAATTTACATACTATAAAATTCACCCTTTTAAAGTGAACCCTTTCGTGGTTTTTATTTAGTGTATTCAGAAGGTTATGCAACTATCACCACTCTCTAATTCTAGAAAAATTTCATCATCCAAAAAAGAAACTCTGTACTCATTAGCATTGACTCCTTACAGTTCCTGGCAATCATTAATCAACCATTTCCTGAGGCATCAATTTTGCCAAAATTCATTTACTACATAATCATTGTGTAGTTATTATATGCTATGCACTGTTTTAGGCATTAAGGATTCAATATGAAACAAGACGAAGTTCTTCCTTTTGAGGAGAAAAATACAACTTAAAACAGTGTTTTGACAATAAAAGAAGCTCAGATATATAATGGATTAGGATGCAAAAATGCATACATTTTTACAATAAAATATGGAACTTCAAGGTAATTTCCTGTTGGACCACATACTGCAAGCTCTGCCCCAGCCCTGTGGTGATATGCTTTCATTCTCCTTCCCGGCTGCAGCCAACATGAGCACTTTATAGGAAAAGGCTGAAAAACACTGCTATAATGTTCATCTGTACAATGAAGGGACATACATACAATGATTACAGGTTGAATCAGTAAACCAAAGGCTTGATTTCTAGCTTAGGCATAAATATTGCCCAATTATTTATTAATTATAAATTGGTACACAATGGCTTCATCCATCCACTGAACAAATATTGAGTGGGTTTCTCATTAATACATGACGAAAGACATAAAAATATGTAAGATACATGGTCCTAATCTTAAAAGCTTTACTCAAATCACTAGATATATAAGAAAATATAATAATATATGAGAGTTTTGAATCACACATAACAGGCAAATTGCTTCTGGAAAATAAGAAAATTCTTCCATTATGCAATTTGTCCATTTTGTAAACAAAATGAAACACTTTATAAAAATGTTCAGCCTGGTGTGGTGGCTCACAGATTGCCTGAGCCCAGGAGTGTGAGCCTGCAATGAGCTGTGATTACACCTTTGTATTCCGGCCTGGGCAACAGAGAGAGACTATATCTCTAAAAATGAATAAATAATAATTAAATAATAAATAAAAATAAATAAAATACTCATGTCAGCCTGGAACTTACACTTGGATCACCTGTCTCTAGTATCTGAAAATATACCTAGATATCAAAAAAGGAGTTGAATTAATCTATTATCCAAAGTAAATTACAAGTAACTGTACTAACTTACTTTTCAGTGCCTCATTCATTTGTGCCTTGTGGTTAGCTGCATGATACCAGGTGATCTCAGCGCCATCTTCTGCTGTAATCTGGCTATTTCTCAGAAAATACTCCAGTATATTTTCACTCCAAGATCCTAAAATAACAGTGTTTACATGTAAATTAATATTGTTTTTTATAGGGTAAAATTTTTAAAATTATTTTTGTTGTATATATTTAAGATACACATATGCTGTTATGTGATATAGATAGATAGTAAAAAGGTTACTATAATGAAGCAAATTAACATATCCATCATCTCACATATCTATTTTCTCTGTGTGTGGCAAGAACAGCTAAAATCTCATTTAACATGAATCCCTTATATACAGTACAATCTGGAGTCCTCATGTTACACATTAGATCTTGACTTGTTCATCTTTTTTTTTTTTTTTTTTAATTTGAGAGCAGGTACTGTTTATTAACCAACCAACTTAGAAAAATAATCATGGTAGACATCTTAGTTCATTCTTCTAATAAGCCTGTTGATCTGGTCCTCCCTGCTGCCAGCATCTCTCCCTTCTACAAAATGGGTGGTCTCTCAGCTAGGTGCAGTGGCTCACACCTGTAATCCCAGAATTTTGGGAGGCTGAGGCAGGCAGATTACTTGAGGTGAGGAGTTCGAGACCAGCATGGCCAACAGGGTGAAACCCTGTCTCTAACAAAAATACAAAAAAAAAGTTAGCCAGGTGTGGTGGCACATGCCTGTAATCCCAGTTACTCCAGAGGCTGAGGCAGGAGAATCAATTGAACATGGGAGGCGGAGGTTGCAGTGAGCTGAGATCACGCCACTGCACTCCAGCCTAGATGACACAGCAAGACTCTGTCTCAAAAATAAAATAAAATAAAATAAAAAATGGATGGTCTTTTTCTCCATTCCACCTCATGGATAAGATAATTTGAAGGCCCACAGGAAGTTATTTGCTTCTCTGAAGTGTTTTCCAACAGTATAGATCTCATGAATCAGATCTTCCATGTAGATGATGCCGTATTTACCAAGAGATCGAGCAATCAAAGTGTTATCTGTTAACACAATTCGCTTCTTATTGATTTTGCCATAACCACACTTGTAGATTATTGACTTCAGGTTTGGGTATCCCCAAGCAGTATATGGTTCTACAATCCTCAGCATGTTAACTGAAGCCTGTTGAGCTTCACAAAGGTTCCAATGAAGATTTGATGAAGGCGAAGAAGCTGTAACACCTTTTGGACCTTTGGGCTCACACCACTGACACCTCTGATCCTGAAGACAAATGCCAATTTGGGTTTTGCAGGTACACAGAAGTTGCCAGCTTTTCTTGCCATCCCTGCCATTCGAATTTCAGTTCTGTGTATCTGCCTATATTCCTTGAGACAGTGCTTTGCTTTTTCATAGATAAGCTTCCTCCTTGCCTTTTGAAGCATCTTTTGGTCAAATGTCTTTCTCAGGTACTTGATCTTCAGCTCTGCGAAATTCCTTTGCTTTTTCTTAAGGGTTTCTGGCACAGCAGGAACCTTCTTGTCTTCTACACCTTCCACGGTTCCAGCCGGAAAAAGAGGCAACTTGCTCATCTTACATATCTGTTCTGTATCCTCTAACCTACATCTCCCCATTTCCTCTGTGTCCCTCCTCCCCGTAGCCATTGTTTTGTCATCTATTTCTGTTATATTTGATTTTTTAATTCCAGATATAAGTGAGATCATGCACTATTTTTCTTTCCGTGTCTGGCTTATTTTACTTAGCATAATGTCCTCCAGGCTCATCTATGTTGTGGAAAATGGCAAGTTCTCATTCTTCTTTAGGACTGAATAATATTCCTTTTTATCTGTGTACCACAGTTTATTTATTCACTCATCTATCAACAAACACTTGTTGTTTCCATACCCTGGCTACTGTAAATAATGCTGCAATGGACATGGGGGTGCAGATATCTTTACAAAGTGGTGATTTCATTTCCTTTGGGTATATGACCGGGAAAGGGATTGCTGAGTTATGGGGTGGAAAAAAAATTTAATAAAGCACAGACAAGATATTGAGGGATAATAACAAAGTAGTTAGACTGGGAAAAATATAAGATTTTAAAAATAGAGAACAAGTATTATGATGTGGCAAGTATGTAATATAAACATGTTATATATTATAATTAGTAGACATATAGGATAGTCTGAACATTAGAAGCATAAGAATGTAGGAAGAAACTAAAACTCAAGTGGATATTTAAAAGCTGGAAATTACATGTGATGTTCTCTACAATCCTGGTCCCAGAAATATAAGGAAAACTGAGGTAAAGTCAAAGCTATATTTAAAATTCTAAGTTTTACTCACTTGTTTTCTCTACCTGAAGCCCCATTCTACATTTATATTAACAATTTAATATTTAAATTGCATATTTTACTGCATATCTACCTTCAGATTATTCTGAGCAACATCTATATGAGTGAGCAAGTAATCTCTTGAATTAGGATTCATAAGTTTATCTAGCATGTGCAATATACGTAATTCTCATATCCTTCAACTACTTTTTGGTATAACACATTTTCTCTTGATTAAGCATTAAAATTTGTGAGTTAACAAAGAGTAAGATAAGTGGTAGCAAAAATATCTGAACCCAGATCCACTCCATACTATATCATAACATATAGGAAGAAAATGCTAAACAAAAGGTGTCCATAATTTTAGCTCCCTAATCCTTGTTCATGCTCCGAACGTTTATTAAGAGCCTAGCAAGTGGCTGCAAAGTCCCCAAGCATGAGAATCTTTCCTCTGTTAATTATTTGTTTGTTAACTCTGCCTAACAACAGTTAAAAATCTGAAACTGCTTCTTCCTTTTTTGTTTGTTTTTTTCCCATCTGCCATCTGTGGTGGAGCTGCCACCAAAACGCAGATTTCATAAAATCCCTTCTGGGGAAGACCCCCACCCTCAAGGTTGGACCCTCAGACACAATAGAAAAGGTAAAGGCCAAAATCTAGGAATTCCTCCTAATCAGCAAAGACGGATCCTTGCTGGCCAGCAACTGGAAGATGGACGTACTCTGTCTGACTACAACATTCAAAAGGAGTCTACTCTTTATCTTGGGTTGAGACTCTGTGGTGGTGCTAAGAAAAGGAAGAAGTCTTACACCACTCCCAAGAATAATAAACACAAGAGAAAGCAGGTGAAGCTGGCAGTCCTGAAATACTACAAGGTGGATGAGAATGGCAAAATTAGTCACCTTTGTCGAGAGTGCCATTCAGATGGTGCTGGAGTGTTTATGGCAAGCTACTTTGACAGACATTATTGTGGCAAATGTTGTCTGATTACTGCTTCAACAAACCAGAAGACAAGTAATTGTGTATGAGTTAATAAAAGACATGAGCTAACATCTTTTTTAAAACCCCCCCAAAAAACCAAAAACCCAAAACCTAAAAATGGCTATCGGAAACTGCTGATAAGATATTGAGAAAAAGTAAAATTTGATCAGAGAATGGAGGGGCATATAAAGACAAATTCTAACTAACATACGAGGGACTTAGCAACCACTTCTAATACTGGGCTGCAGAATTTAAAAAAAAAAAAGACAGTTAGGTGGAGGATTCACTATCCCCAAAGCAGTCTCCCACTCAAAACACATGGCCCTATTTGGCACATATAATAGAGTCATAGACCTTTCATACTAAGATGGCAACACATGGCCATCATTCTTTAAAATATTAAGGTAGCCATTTTAGAAGGCACATTATCGATTGGCTATAACAAATGTCTGACAATAGGAAAATAATTAAATCAGTACATATGCATGATAGAATATATGACTAATGTGGCTGTTAAAAATGAAGGTTTTCCCAGCACTTTGGGAGGCCGAGATGGGCGGATCACGAGGTCAGGAGATTGAGACCATCCTGGCTAACACAGTGAAACCCAGTCTCTACTAAAAAAATACAAAAAACTAGCCGGGCGAGGTGGCGGGCGCCTGTAGTCCCAGCTACTCGGGAGGCTGAGGCAGGAGAATGGCGTGAACTCGGGAGGCGGAGCTTGCAGTGAGCTGAGATCCAGCCACTGCACTCCAACCTGGGCGACAGACCGAGACTCCGTCTCAAAAAAAAAAAAAAAAAAAAAAAAATGAAGGTTTTGAGATACACCAAATGATTCAGAGATCTGATAAGCATGACGTTACCAGAAAAACCTAAATGTTGGTTAATGGTTCATATTGGATATTTCCAAAGCACTTTTCAACTACACATACTGCATTCAGAATTTTTATAAAGGCAACCTACAAAGTAATAATAAAATATCAGGACTCTAGAATTTAAAAACATTTAAAGTAAAAAGTTTTCCTTACCCTTTTACTAAGTGAAATTGTTAGTTTGTATTTAAGCCACAACTGTATATATCTTAAAACTTAAAAGAGGATCCAATTACCTATGATCTAGGGTCTTAGTATTATTATTTAAACAGGCTGGAACTCTGAAAACAGGACCAAGAGAAAGGCAAAAATAGTTGCAACTTTTTTAAGATTGAGTTTTTGAGCAGTTTATTTATTTATTTATCTATTTATTTTGAGACAGTCTTGCTCTGTCACTCAGGCTGGAGTGCAGGGGGATGATCTCAGCTCACTGCAATCTCCGCCTCCTGCGTTCAAGTGATTCTTGTGCTTCAGCCTTCCGAGCAGCTGAGATTACCGGCATGCATGCGCCATCACATTGGCTACTTTTTGTATTTTTAGTAGAAATGGTGTTTCACCATGTTGGCTAGGCTGGTCTCAAACTCCTGGCCTCAAGCAGTCAGCCACCCTCAGTCTCCCAAAGTGCTGAGATTACAGGCGTGAGCCACCATGCCTGGCCTTTTAAGCAGTTTTCATTTACAGAAAAAAATTAGGCTGGGCATGGTAGCTCATGCCTGTAATCCCAGCACTTTGGTTGGTCGAGGTGGGCAGATCATCTGAGGTCAGGAGTTCAAGACCAGCCTGGCCAATATGGTGAAACCCCTTCTCTACTAGAAATACACAAATTAGCAGGGTGTGGTGGCTCACGTCTGTAGTCCCAGCTACTCAGGAGGCTGAGGCAGGGTAATAGCTCAAATCCAGGAGGCAGAGGTTGCAGTGAGCCGAGATCATGCCACTGCACTCCAGCCTGGGTGACAAAGCAAGACTCCGTCTCAAAAAAAAAAAAAAAAAAAAAAAAATTAGCAAAAAGAGCAAAGTTCCCATATCATCCCCACTATTCCCTCAATTTCCCCAGTTCTTGTTTTTTTGGAAATTACAAAATTGCTTTTATTTAAAAATCCCCAATTTTTAACATCTTGCATTAGTGTGGTATGTCTGTTAGACTAGATGAGCCAATACTGACATTTTGTTATTAACTAAAGTCCATAGTTTACATTAGAATTCACTCTTGGTGTAATACATTTTATAGGTTTTGACAGATGTCTAGGTGTATATCTGAGATAGCAGGTTCAGTTATGGGCCACTGGAATAAAGTGAGTATCACAATAAAGCAAGTCACACAATTTTTAGTTTCCCAGTATGTATAACAGTTATGTTTACACTGTTACACTGTAGCCTATTAGGTGTACAATAGCATTATGTCTAAAAACAATGTGCATACCTTGATTTTAAAACACTTTATTGCTAAAAAGTGGCAACAATCATCTGAGCCTTCTGCTAGCTGAAATCTTTTGACTGGTGGAGGGTCTTGCCTCAATGTTGATGGCTACTGACCAATCAGAGTGGTGGTTGCTGAAGGCTGTGGTGGCTGTGACAATTTCTTAAAATAAGACAATGAAGCTATTGATATCAGTGGATTCTTCCTTTCATGAAAGATCTCTCTGTAGCACACAGTCCTGTTTGATAGCATTGTACCCACAGGAGAACTTACAAAATGACAGTCAATTCTCTCAAACTCTGCTGCTGCTTTAACAACTAAGTGTATGTAATATTCTTTATCATCTGTGGTCATTTCAACAATGTTCACAGCATCTTCACCAGAAGTAGATTACATCTCAAGAAACTACTGTCTTTGCTCATACATAAGAAGGAACTCCTAGTTCATTAAAGTCTTATCATAAAATTGCAATAATATAGTCACATCTTCAGGCTCCATTCTAATTCTAGTTCTCTTGCTATTTCTTTTTTTTTTTTTGAGACAGAGTCTCGCTCTTTCGCCCAGGCTGGACTGCAGTGGCGCTATCTCGGTTCGCTGCAAGCTCCACCTCCTGGGTTCACGCCATTCTCCTGCCTCAGCCTCCCGAGTAGCTGGGACTACAGGCACCTGCCACCATGCCCGGCTAATTTTTTGTATTTTTAGTAGAGACTGGGTTTCACTGTGTTAGCCAGGATGGTCTCCATCTCCTGACCTCATGATCCACCTGCCTCGGCCTCCCAAAGTGCTGGGATTACAGGTGTGAGCCACTGCGCCCCACCTTCTCTTGCTATTTCTATCACATTTGCAGTTACATCCTCTACTGAAGTCTTGAATCCCTCAAAGTCACTCATGAGAGTTGGAATCAACTTCTTCCAAACTCCTGTTAAAGTTGATATCTTTACTTTCTCCCATTAATCACAAATCTTCTTGATGGAATCTAGGATGATGATTC